ACATTTTCGCATTGGACGCCGGGGCATTCTAATGACTATCAATTTTCAGTAACTTTTGAAATTATTTTTAACAGCGTCTCTTCTGCAAAATTCTCCTGGGAATTGGGAAGTACCAAACTGGCTTAGGATCGTTCAAGGTTGACGATATTTTTATTTTCTCTGAGCGGCGGCAATGCCAGGAATCTTGCAACTAACATTGCCTTTATTTTTCAGGCCTACATGCCTTTACAGGCTTTACAAACTTTTTTAAAATCACAAAATATACGTTGATGATCACAAAATTTAAGTTTTATTTAAGGCAGAAATAATTTTCCTGATAATTAGGCTCCGCACGTACAAAAAATTTGGAAATCGCTGCTGTGATGTATATCGTATCGGCTAGCTCTCTACGAAATTTGCTAATCAAATCGTGATTGAAACTATATAAATTCTATATTTGAATTTATCTATCCTTATAGCCCGCCATCTACGGAAAGGGTCATTCAAGTCATAATTGGAACTAGTGGCGTATCAATGTGAGATGGCACCCATGGCAAAGTTTAAAAATGCGCCTCTTGATCGTTGCCTGACGATTTTTAACTGTTGTTGAACTGAGATACTGGCGCAGTTCTTACCAATTCATGGCAGCTCCTGCCACGAACGTACCGCGTCTCTTGACATGGTTTTATCGCGCTATTACCGGTATATTTACAAAGTCATGTACAATATTTTAGTTTATCATGCGGAATTATATCTACTTAAACCTAAAGGTAACCCCAAATACATCAAAACTGTATTCATAAGAAAAGCGTTCCAACTTACCCAATATTTATCACCATCAGGGGAAGCCCTGCTATTACATCCGACATGCCATGGTTACGGCAGCAAAATTGGTTGTTTTCGATTTGCTGCCTTAACCACGACAGCTCGCTATTGGTTTGTGGCAGCTAAAGAGTCAGTCGCGGTGGGTTTGGTCATAGCTGCCATGGTTTGAAAATTCCCCCATGGGTTCGCGGCAGCTTTAGACGCCACAAAATACTTGAAACTGCACTTGGAGATACTTGTACGTTATTATTTGGATGAAAATACGAGTTCCAGTTATTTTTACCCTGCAATTAGTTTATTGAGATATTTTACGATTAAGACCGGTCGGACCCGGTCTGACTAGGCAATTTAAAATGTTAGAACCCCTGCTTCAAAAATACCTGGCTGTGCCCTGACACCAGCTTTCAAATTGAATAGTATAAAATTCCAACACGGTTTATGGTTCAATATTTCTACGCTCAACAAAAAATACAACTCCTGATTTAATTTTGAACCTGCCAAAAAGACGGGAAGAATATTTGTCTTCAAAGACAAATACATACACTGTAATAAATTCGTTCGGACGTTTTTATTACTTTTACTCAAAGCAAGATCCCGAACCCTCAGTTGAAAGCGAAAAAAATACTGATAAAAAAGTTTGCAAATTTGCTCAAAGAGAAGTCCCAGGGCTCAAGTAAGATTGACTACGTCCAATGACCTAACAGTCTAAAGTTAATGGTAGTTTCCCACGTTATTACATGCATATTTCTATTCCCTGGAGTAAACAACACATCGATATATTTGGATGGGAGTCAAGGTTCGCAAACATTTAGATATTCGTATTTACAAAATGTTAAAATAGATTTCGGCCTTCAGCTACGACGTGAAAAGCGACATCGACAACAATATTTTGCGATCAGAGGATTTTTATGTTTCGGCTACAGAATTCGAATTTTTATAAGTCTAAAATTGTGGCTATCGGGTTCAAAATCTCAAATCTAACGGTTGAAAATACAAACCGAATATATATACTTCGGTTTATCATAGTATCGGATATCAATAATGTAGTAAAGCAGTGATTCCCAACCTTGTTCATACCTTTGTCTATTTTAAACGCATTTATTCCGGTACTCCCGAAGTATGTGAACCAAGATGGCGGACAACGAAACGTAGTATGTGTATACCAGGTTATGGTTGGGCCCTAATTTCAGGTGCAAATACTATGTGAGTCACTTAGCTAGTCCTCGAACTCGTAATAGAACTAAAATAGGGGAAATTGGAATGAAATTATAGTCTAACCCTAACCAGGTACACATACTACGTTCCGGTGTCCGCCATCTTGGTTCACATACTTTGAGAGTATCTTTATTTCCCTTCACTGTGCGTAAAATCTTCAATCTTTTTATATTCAATATATTCAAATATTCAATCTTTAATAGATCCTGAGCTATAGTGCCATGCGCAAGTTCCACTCTCACTTTGTCCACTGTTTTCTAAGGATTAAAAGTTTATAATGTTCTCAAAGACAAGTGTTATGGTAATAATAAAGAACTAAAGAATATTAGTAATACTACAGCAATTACAAAGCAAAATTTATAAAAAAAAAACGACAGAATTCTTCCCCTGAGTAAAACTCCTACCAGGTTGGAAAACTTGGTACTACAGTAACGAGAATATCGGTCGGAGACCGAAGACTTATCGATCGAAACTGCGGTTTCGATTCATGGCTCTATAGTGACACCGCGTGTCCCATCACTAATTAATTGATAACTCGCTAATTACACGACATAATTCATCTAAAATCAATAGGCTTCTGGTCCAAGATATGATGAATGAACATGCAAAATTTGAAGCAGATTAAACCTCACCTTTGTGAGGTATCGCGTTCATCTAACAGACAAACAAACAGGCAGACAGACAGACAGACAGACAGACAAATACCTATCAACATACTTGCCGATATTAAGATAGATAAGTAACAACGTAACATTTAGCGAATCTATTCACGCATTACCGACTGTAGTTGCAATTTTTTTCATAAAATTAGGAAAGTTAAAATGAATGTAAGACCTGACTGGGCTCGTTGTACAATATACCTATACGTACTAAATCAATATATTATTTACGTACTATACGGAGTTTGATTCACCGCGATATACCATTCAAATTTAAATTGTTTTTTAAATCAACCTGCTTTACAGGTTGAGTCGTAAACTTGCTGCCAAGCAAATAAACGCAAATTTTTCCACAGTGCGGTGATACAAATTGGCAAAAATGAGAGTTTTTTGACGCTAATTATAACTTAAACTAGTAAAGATTTGACAGCAATTGGACAAGAAGGAAACAATCCAGTCCGATTAAACTGAAAGATCTACAGATCTCGAAATGTTAATAACTGTTGCACTGTATCATGCACGTAGAAGCAAGGCACATCCATGCAAATGAAAAGTGTTTTGCCGCTAGATGGTGGTAGAGGGTGAGTGAAACCTGCTAAACCCAACACAGATCGTAATAATATTACGAAAGCCAATTATAAAGAAAACGAAAAGCGTAAATACCTAGTATTTAACTTGGGTCATTTCGTCAAAAGGCATGATCTATGAAATATAATTACAACTGGTGCTAGCCAACAATGCAATTCGCCCATTTTTTTTATTTTTATAAAAGTAAACTTCATCAGGGCATGATATGGTTAAGACACTAGCAACTACAGGGTGTCTATAAAGTCCCTTTACATTTTTAATTTTGTTGTGAAGTCAGTTCTCAATATATCTTAACCAAGTTTGTTGTTTTTTAATCAGTAATTGTTTAAGTATTTTACTATTTTTACTTCATTTAATACATATGTGAGAGCCAAAACAATATTTGGTATCGGTAAATTCCTTTTGCAATTTTAAAAAAATTCTAAGACTGTATGGACACCCTATATATTTGAATAGTAAATTATCTATTTTAAACACGAGAGCATGACATACTCGATCAGAGCAATTTGTCGAAAGTTAAAACAAGCTCGGAGAGATATAAGTCGTAGGTAGGACTGAGCATTTTCGAATACATGATGATTTCAGAATTAAATCGAATATTTTTTTCGAATCGAATCTCAAATACTTGGGAGATATATAATTGCATGTGACTTTCCTATTGTATCCTCCAGACCCCTAAATTACTGAAAACATAGAATACATCACTCGGACATATACAGCTTCAATAAAAAAAAAAACTTGAGAAATCCACCTCGACCATTGGCGGGAAGAAAATAAACAAGATGGCGATGATTCGAAATTTTGCTCTGAACCAATTCGAATAATTCACAATTCGATTCGAAATGCCCAACCCTAGTCGTAAGTATAACATTCGGGACTTGAGAAAAAAGGCGCGAGTGAACTTCCGCTATCCAGCGCAGGTTTTTTCAAACGGTGGGGCACGTCGTCAATCTTTTTAGGGGGCGTGAAGCTAATTACAAATAAAAGTATATGTTTGATTTGATCTTCCCCGGCTTATTTTAATTCATTTATTACTTATCAATTTTAATCGGTAAGTATGTTGATAGGTATTTGTCTGTATGTATGTCTGTTAGATGCACGTGATATCTCACGAAAGCGAGATTTCTGCCCCAGATTTTGCTTGCGCATTCATCTTATCTCGGACCAGACCTATTGATTTTGGGCAAATTATGTCGTATAATTAGCGAGTTATATTTTAATTAGTGATGGGACACGCGGTGTCACTATAGAGTCATGATTTGAAACCGCAGTTTCGATCGATAAGCCTTCGGCGTTTTATCCAGGTATATTCAACGTACTTTCGTCTTATTATATCTGTTATTTGTAGCATGTTGTCAGCTGGTTATTTTTTAGATGGGGCGCAAGACTTGACAAATTCCAAAAAGGGGGCGTGGCCTAGAAGTTTGAGAATCACTGATTTAACATATCCTTAAACACTTCTAAATGCTCGTTTGGCTTCTCTCAGATATACTAATTCCTGTCACAACTTTTAATTTCTAGCTCTTTCTACATGCATACACATCAGTGGCGTAGTCATAAAATCATTTTTCTGTATAATACAGCAATTTTCCGTATCTTGAAATGCTTTTTAGACCCCAAGACTAATGAAAACACGCGTATTCCAGCGTTCGATCGGACCCGCCAGCTGTTTCTATGTAACTTGGCCATAAAAAACAGAACCCCCCCTTCTGGCTACGCCTCTGATACACATGATTGCATTGTTTGTTCACAAATATTTTAATATTATCGAACAAATACGAAGAAGTGCAATAGAACAAATTGTGTCGTCATCAAGCACTGCGTCATAATAAACATATATAATGAAAAAATAAAATAACAAAGATATGACGAAGACCGCTCTATTTCATGAGAAAAATTACATCATAATATGATTACGTCATAATGCTATTGAGATGAATAAAACAAATAAAAAATAAATGATAAAATGAATATTACGTCAAATAAAATGGCGAAAAACCAAAATCATTAAAACTTTTTTTCACCTATGTTATCTTGGCAAGAGGTTTACAGCGACAATTACTGGAAATTTCATATTTATTTCGGGAAGAGGAAAGCCGATAAGACGGCTAAATCATATGGGTACCACGATTTCTTGTTCGATTACCACCCCATGTCCCCCAACATACCTCTAATATAGCATACGATTTTAAAATTACCGAGTCCTCATTTTTCAATGGACTTTACTTAGGGGTAAATGCTTTAAATCTGGCATAAATTCTTCGAACATAAAAGGAAGATTTGTATTTCATTATAAATATCTTAAGTGTTATAAATATATTCGGACGTTTTTAAATACTATTGGTCAAAGCAAGATCCAGAGTCCTCAACTGAGGTTGGGCAGTGTAGTTGCAAATGACAAACTGATATGCTAAGACAGTGCTTTCCAGTCAGTGGGTAGCGAAACTATTTAAGGTTGGTCGCGAAGTATTTCTAAATGTTACATTCAGTTTCTGATTAGATTGGGAGATTGTGACGTTATCATAACGTCAAATATGAAACAATTCAAATTATGCGTCATTATCAGAATTAATCTCATAATATCCAATATACAAGATGATGTTTCTCATTAATAGTAAATTGCATGGGGATGCATTATCTTTTTTTTCCTGTATATTATCTCATTGTGATCACACAGATAAAATGGCAAATAAAAGTGGGTTTCGAACTGAAGAAGGTCGAAAAGCACTGTCAGTAGAGATCATTTGCTAAAAGACTTGAAATGAATCAAAGCAACACTGTAAGGGAAGCTAGTAATCTGTCAGGAAGATATCTTCTCTGCTAACTATTATCACGGCTGAATACAGCCTTTCTCGTAAACGTGAGTGGAACATTAAAATGGCGAAAGCGTTAAAATAAAATAAAACTGATTTTATATTAAAATACTTTATCTATTTAAAGTAGTAGTTTATAAATCTTGAAAATAATGATAGGCAGTCTGATTTAAACCAGGGATGGGCGAATTCTTTGAGTCACATCAAGAACATGTCAAATTTATGCCTTAAAAACGAAAGTTGGTATTTTTGGATAAATATTTCTCATTCAATGAACAAAAGTCGTAAATGATATCATAAAACAATTACCGGTACTATAGACAATTTCCGGTCCATGGTCTAGCCCAATGGTTCCTACGCAGTGAGACATTTAATAGGAGTAATCTATGGATCTAGGCAAGTAGTCGAAAAGTAGACAATAGTCAGACATGAGTGTGACTGTTACCTAATCGGTGAAATATTGCGTTTTGTATGCACTAGCCGATTGTTTTTCAAGATTTGCTAATTCTACTTTACGCAGTGCTTCGAATTTTGCCCTAGACAGGGATCTACATAGTCGGAAACTTATAATACATTAACCTAAACGCGAGTGTGGGCATGTCCTCGATCGGTTAAATATTGCATTTACTTGAAATACCAATGGCAGTTACTAGACGCGGTCGTTTCTACATCACAAACTTCTAGTCTGAAATGGTGAAGATTTTCTGTGAAATGGAGCTAACTTAAGCGAGATAAGTTCCTTTGTCTTCTTCACGGTTGAGTAATTTTCGCGCCCTTTTGTACTTGACGTCATTGCACAGTGACGTCATAGATCCTTCATAGAGGACGATCAAAGACGTAGAATCTAATCACTAGTGGCAAATAGAGATTATGATTCTTCGACTTGATCATACTGTCGTCACGTACTGCTGAGGCAAACCATCTCCTGGAGCTTCAGCTCCCTCTAGTGGCTCACCTTCACTATTCGACATACAAAGTGAAGATCCGGATTCTGTAGAAAATAATGAATAATTTTGTTGAAGTTGTATTTTATGTTCAGAGACACAAACAGAGTCAAAATGCCAAAGCATTGGGCATATATACACGGTATTTTTTACAGAGCATAAAGCGCACTTTAAATTTCCCACACTCAAAACTATTGTTTTTTTTTATGAAAAAAATGCCTTATTACCTTTTTTTTTGAATAAAATACAATAAGCAAATATTGAGTTTTTTTGTTCAATGAGATATGTACGGTTGTAACCTGATACTTCTTAAAGACCGTTGATTTGTCTTATAACCATGTGCGCTTTCTGGTCCGTAAAATACGGTTTTTCGGGCACAAATATTCAAAACCAATGCGCTTAATTACGGTGTTAATAGAGCATTAGGTTAAGACCATAGCTATTGGTGGGTATGGTGGAGATTAGCTTATCAGTGGCCCCAAATAGGAAGCTGAAACCAGTTAACTAGTGGATAAGCGGTGAGTGCGTGGTGTGCGTTTCAGAAAATCCAGTCGGAAAATTGTCCCTGAAATTCTCTCTAAGAAAGTTAGTTAAATTTAATCTGGGGTGAATATATTACATACATACTTTTTCTGGACAAAATTTTATTGCATTTTTTCGCTCAATCACTTCCAACTTAGCTAAATTAGGACGTTTCAACAGCTGCTCAAGGCCTATTTCTTGACACCATGCGTTCTTAACGACTATTTGAAAGCTTTGGGAACTCACTCTAGAACAAAGTAGTAAAAAATCTCACCGTATTCCTCTCCTTCGACAATCGCTCTGAAGTCAAACATAGACGCAGGCTGTTGTGAGGCTAAATTGAACGAACCATTTGATGACGTAGAAGACGTCGACACGGTTGAATGAGGACGTTTGCATGCGTGCTCGAACGTAGAAACTGCAATTGACGCTCTTGAGCGTGACACGAGTACTCTTCCCCCCATTAATTTGTCAGGAGCCACTGAACGATCTGTTATTGGACTTTGGCTCGATCGAATGTCGAGGTGGGGTTTACTGCCGACACCCATGTTCACCATTTCATTACGGCGGTTGGCTGAAAAAAAAAATGCGGATTTCTTTACTAGTTTATATGAGAAATGGCTTGTTTACTAAGCGGTGTAGTTTTATTTTGCTATTTTGACCCCTGAACTCTTTCTGTCATACTCCCATTGGTCCCTGGAAAGGAACTAATGTCGTGAGCAGCGCAGGGGCATATACAACACATACTTTGAAATAAAATTTAATGGTGATGACTTGAAAATGGATAATTTCGTAATTTTTAGTCGAAACTTCTAATTTTAAAATCGTTATTCGTCTATCTATCAATACCCTATATCTGTAGGCCAAAAGACGTTGCAATGATTGATAAAGTGCCCAATTACATATCAGTCTTCCCTTTCACAACTACGATATAAATCAATAATTTTCACCTTTATTCCTCAAAGCTTGCTGCCATAATATACTCCTTATATCTTCAACCCAGGCCTGTTTCTTCTGTTCAGTTGACGAGTTAAATATAATATTATCTTGCATGGGCCTTCGAAACCAGATTTCAAATTTCAATCCCGAATCCCCGATGTTTTCTGTCAAACCTATCTCTGAAGTCTGAGAATGAATAAAATTTCAATGAGGTGGTTTGCTATGAACATGTCTCCGAGCATCCAAATAATGGCGTAGGGCCGTAGGACTTTGGAAAAGCAGATAACCATACGCAGGGAGATATGTTTTTGCAAGCCCTGAGTCTTTACAATGGAATGATTATTAATTAGGTCAATTTCAACCGATACCTTCATGTCTGGATGCAATATTTCAAAATTTTAAAACTGGGTGATTTTGGCCTCTCTGAAGACTTGACCTAGTATTTAGGCCTGTGCCCTTGTAAGATATTAGAAGTTGGTAAAAAGGGGGCGATTATGGCATTCCTAACCTAGAATTTAGAAGTGTTTACAGACTTGTACGGAGCGACGTAAAATAAAACCCATAAAATAAAAGATGGAAGACAAAAAAAAATCATTTTTTTCGACTTCGGGCATTGAAAGAGCGGGTAGAAGGTGGATAAATGGAAAGATTTCTAATGCCAATAACAAGATGGAGAAAGCACCCAATGACTTGGACTGCAGAATAATATGCATTAAAATAAAACGATTATATTCTGGCTGTAAAAATTTCCAATGACAGTAATGAGAAAACAAATACTTCGCATTCGGTTGCAGAATTGCATTGAAACAAAACGTATATATTCTGGCTGAAATAATTTACCTTATGACTCGATTTGTAGTGGTATACATCATGACCTCCATGAACCCGCTGCGGTTTGCTGAGTAAAACTAAATCTTCGAATAAAAATATATGTCGTACATATTTCCGTCGTCCATGGAAGATTAAAAATTCATCCTGTAGAAATAGATGATGACTGGTTAGAACTGTATAGCACTGACACGGACAAACTACGGCTCGCGGGGCAAATACGCCCGTTGGGCAATTCAATCTGGCCCGGCTGATACTGCCACAACCAAACTAAAACTGAATTTTGATATTTTAGCTAAACATAGCTCAAAGAATTTGTTGAGATTGCAATTAAATTTCATGTCCCGCCAGTCTAAGTTGGCAATTTTGTTGGCCTGGTTTAAAAACCTTGCTCACTCACCCCTGGCAATTTCTTGCAATATTTGAAGTAAAATATTCAAGCTGTAAGACACTTTTTGGTTTATTCGCAAAATACCAGGCAAAGCTAAGCCGAAAACGCTGATCAAGAATGTTGGCCAACATTACTACCCAATCCAAGGCATGTATATGTATGTCCAAATGGTTGCTTGCCTTTGACCATTTTAAGAACGATATTGGAGCCCTTGCGACGAAATATCCGCTTGTCTAGTTCCTTCTTAAGAGTTCTACCATAAATTCAAATACCTGTCGTTTCAGTTCTCCTTGTTCTTTTAAATTGACGTCACATCCAACGATCGAATCCATTGCAAGTAGATCGTTGCCATGACGAAGTTGGAATTTGACCAATGACTCTGCTTCACGTAATAAACTTCTGTATGGGGCATCGGAGTGCTTGGCAATGTTGTGTAAAAGTAACGCGTATTTACCCATACGTTGCACCTGAAATGACGAAGTTTTGTTTTAAGTCCGTAATATACATTTACTCAATAGTCTGTTAAGTGACTTAAAATTCTTGCAGTGGTCGTCCACGCCATGATTTTTCCCAAAAATGAGTCCGTAACCTTACTCATAAATGAATTTTTACTTCTGAGTTAGTTCTCATATCCTTGCTAAGGAGGGAAATTCGGAGCTCCCGAAGTATGCGAACCAAGATGGCGGACATCGGAACGTAACATGGGTAACGTTAGGGTTAGGCGATAAATTTTTTCCAATTTTCCTTATTTTAGTCCTATTATCAGTTCGAAGACTAGCCAAGAGCCTCCCGTAGCATTTATACCTAAAATTATGGCCTAACCCTAACCTAGTACACATATTACATTCCGATGTCCGCCATCTTGGTTCGCATACTTCGGGAGCACCGGAAATTCTTCTATTTTTGAACTATGATTTCTTCTATATCTATGATTTCTATGATCTATTAATCTTGCTTTCAATTCTTTCAATATACCCATTATTTTTACCCGCCCGCTCAACGCAACCTGGTCTTAATAACAATGGTAGCAACTCGAAACGCTATCAAATCACGGCTAGCTTAGTATTTATTTCACAACAATGACAAGAATGAACCATCACGTGGTGTTAGTGTGCAGCAGGACTCTTGAATTACGTAGTATAAATAAATTGTGATGTCATACTTCTTTCCCTTTTGAAAAAGGTATTGTAGCCTGCTTTCAGCTGACTTACCGGTTTCAATAAATACGAAGCCAAGTCCATTTTATCTCTGAGTGAATGTTGTTTGGCTCTGAAAAACCTTGTTCCGTGTTCTCTCATGAGTTCATCTGAACGCGGTTTGTTCTTGCTATACAGTGCATACATGCTGAAACTTTCACGCTGAAGATATGGGGAAATTATTATACATGGGAATTGAACAATTGAAGGTACTCCCGTAGTGAGTGTACCAGGTTAGGGGACTGTCTGTGTTAGCCAAGTGAATATACCCCCTGCCCATAGGTTTCAGTTCATTCACACAACTTGATGTGAAGTGGGCGAACAAACTTAGTTACCTTCACACATACTTCTGGAGCGCCAATCACTCTAATACTTTTACCTTCTGTTAGGTTAATAAATATGTCGTCGCTGAATACCCTATTCTCACAATTCACTTACGTGTTGAATAAAAACTTCTGCAACTCTGCCTGGTTGGTCCTGACAATCTTGAAGAGCTTCAAGGAATTGTCCAGTATGGAAATCACAGATATTCTCTACATTTCCAAACACAACTCCACGCTTTCCTCTCAACGCTTGTGGAACGTCGTCAAGTTGATTCATTAGCGGATAATAATGCTGTGTATAAAAAAGCAGGTCATAATTAATAAGAAATTTTGAAATCATATTATACTGAATTTCATTTAGTTTAAAGTTTCCAATTTACGCATTATAAAACCAGTCATTACTTATCGATTTTAATCGGTAAGTATGTTGATAGGTATGTTAGATGCACGCGATATCTCACGAAAGCGAGATTGAATCTGCTCCAGATTTTGCATCATATGTCGTACCAGAAGCCTATTGATTTTGGATGAATTATGTAGTATAATTAGCGAGTTATTAATTAATTAGTGATGGGACACAAGGTGTCACTATGGAGTAAGAGCACTGTTTTGGGATCCCCTTACTTTCGATCGATAAGTCTTCGGTCTCTGACCGATATTCTCTTTATTAATTTATTACCATTTATTAGCCTGCAGAAACATAACGTGTATTTTCCCACAAGCTACAAATAAAGTATAACATGATGTATGCCACTTTGGTCATATATAATGAGCCACACACAAATCAAACATGAAAAGCAGAGCATGTTTAGCTAGGCCTGAGTTCACAATATACCACTGGCCATGGTTGCATTTTTGGGCATACTTGCTGCCCTTAATTTGAATCACGTCCATTTGTAATATAATTTGGAGCGGTTATTCGATATATTACATTTTATCAGACGCAATACTGGCTGAAGAGTTAAGTTTTATTCTGGATAAATCATTAAATATTACTTCATAATAAACATTAGTAATCGCATTATTACCTCAATAATATAATTTAATGATCTGACGTATTCTTCTTCAGTTGATATCAACTCTTCTATTGCAAGGCTCCATTTTCTGTGCAAATAAAAAATTATGTCAGATTAGAGGTTAATTTTAATTCATCTTGCCTTTGTGTGGTTTTCACTTAAAAAAAATATGGCTTATTGATAAGAAAAGAAACTAACGAACACTTCACTACAAAATCTGGAGATTTGTTTAAGACCTTCGACTACGAACGCATTGAGAATTCAGAAAAGGGTGCCACCGTAGTATTCGTACCAAAATGGCGCACAACCTGAACATAGTATGTGTACCAGGTTGGAGTTAGCAGGCTGTGCGCCATCTTGGTACGAACATTACGGAAGCACCCAAAAAAGAACTCATAATCAATGAAATATGCTGCTGATTCCGAACTCCAATTCCATTGCCCTGAGAGTATTAACACACTTACGTTCTGCCTTGTGTGTCTGGTTCCCGTGGTCGCAACGGTGATCCGATTTTCAATTTCGAGTGATGACTGGACATACTTTGTGATTTACGTAACATTTTTTTCGGTCTGTGTTTCGAAGAAGGCACCGCCGCTGACTCGTTAGGTTCCGCTATTGTTGGCACACCCCCATTATTATTGTTATTACTGCCACCTGGTGGACGAATTAGTCTGTGTGAAATATCAGAATTTTGACGTAAAACTACGCGAGTCGGTTTCTCACTGGTAGTGACGGAGTTCGTTTCATTCGAGTTTGAACTATCGGATAGTATTTCGCTCATGTCACTACTATCCGGTTTTGAATGAGGAGACTCTGCACCACTTCCCTGCTTTCGAATTTCTTGTACTTGGTGGTCTCTCGCCTGCAGATTGAAAAGAAAATGTTATTTCGTGTGAACTGAATAGCATATCGGCAAACTCATATCTTAATTCCGTAAGTCACTTCTTGGCGAGTTTTTACTTCAATAGTTGCTATCAATGTGAAGCCGACTTGAACCATGAAACAGCATAACAAATGATTTAAGAGGTTTATGTTTAATTCAAACTCAAAGAGACTTACGTACGTCTGTTATAAGCGCGATGATATATGGGGCGTCAATGACATTTTAAAATGATTTAAAATTGTAAAAAAGAATTCATCGATACCATACATTTTTATGGCCGTCATTGATGTATCAAATGAAGTAAAAATACTTAAACAATTACTGACTAAAAACGACAAACCTGGTTTTGCACAAAAGTTATGTTTAGAATATGTTCCAAATAACCTAGGTTCCTTTTTAGTTTCACTCCATAGGTAGAAGTCCAACGCTGTAACAACAAATCCCCTTCGCCCTTCTATGAAATAGAAAATATGACACGGAAATCACTTACTTTTACTAAAAGTTTTCTCCTTTTAACAAAAAGGTCTTTTGTTTCAGTGCATTTCTGCTGTGCTATTTCGCATTGCCTTTGACACTTCAAATTATTGTATCGCGTCGCAACATCTTGCATTTTCATGAATTCTTCGTTAGGAATAGGCGGATGTGACGTCATATATTCGTCATACTTGTTGATTTGTTCTTGTAATTCATCCGTTGTCATGACGTCACTCATGCTCAATGAAGCGACGAATTTCATTCCTGATAATGCCCAGGAATATGCCTGCGATAAAGGGAAGGTTCAGTGTTAGGTGAGACAACATAGCAATGCTTAAATATGGGCACGAAGTCCGATTGACCGTGAATTCGAATATGACAGAATTTAGCACGCTTCAATGAATATAAATAGAGAATTGCAGCAGATTCCTGCAGTATTGCATTCTACATGACACCAAATATGGAAACTACAATACTCCGTGCATCATGCAAATGAATAATGTTGATGTTCAAATGCGCACAGTAATTATACCCAGAAAAGTCTCATTTCTGGATCCAACTGTCACTTAAGGTAACGGACGAGCTAAATTGCAATTCATCAAACATACATGAGCAAAAAATTTAAATTTAAATTTTTAATTCGAAAATGAAACTTTTAATTAGATTTTTATATATTTAAAAAAAATGAAACAATAAAAACAAACTTTGACGTAATTTGAATTTATCTTTGCATATAATAAAGTACGAAGAACTAGTCAGATTCTTTTAATAGCGACAATAGGAGAGGATCTTCTGTACGAAGCCTCCCTACTAATGCACAAATGCGACGCCACGTTTTTAAATAACAAATTATCCGGTTAGGGTTCGAGTTGGGGTTAGGCCTACTACGCATCAGGGAAAGGATGCCTTATTCCAAGCGATAACAACTCAAATATAATATAAGCGTGGACCGCAATATCCTTTTTTTATATCTTAATTAAACGGATCAGAGCACGACTTGCTTTGGATCAAAACTCATCATATGAACATCTCATATTCGAATCGTAACGATATACACCTCAAGTAAGCACATCGTTGCTTTTTGCAACAATCTTATGGGTTGTGGCCTTATGGGTAGCCTAAAGCTACCTCGTGTAAGCTCCTCAATATCGTTCAGTTAGGTCAGAATTAATAGGAATAATATGACAGTGAGAAAAGACTCAATGACTTCAAAAATCCTAATATTTGTAATTGTTGTGTAAACAGTCTTTGACGTAAGTAGGAGATTAAAAAAGTAGACATTCGTTGACGAATTGCCTGTTACATTGTTATAATTACATGATATTACCTATTAATAAGAGTTATTTTGTTTAATTACTGGCAACAGTGTAAGTAATTTGTTTACATGAGAGAAAACAGGAGAATTAGTCGTCAGCGTTGCAACGTGTAAAACAATGGGAGAGCAATGAAAAACAATGAAACAAAACTAAATACCCATTCAATATACGATTCTTGATTTGCGATTGGTCCATCACCATATTCGGGACGACTTCAAGTCCATGCTTCCGAAAACTGATAAATGGTTAACTGATCCCATATTCGACATGGACTGGTAACCGGGCGAAAGGCCGTGCTTCGCCATAATATGATTAAGCCGTCCCTATCGGCTACCCTCCACCCGGGATAAATATGTAAATCACATTCTATCCTATCTCTATCCATATAAAATGACCCCACAACTAGATCACCTACCTGATCAACAAATAAATAAAGTTGAGAAGCGGTTTCCACTTCTTCTTTCTTCATTTCCATATCTTGAACAACCTGCGAGATTTTTTCAGCTGCGTTTCTTGCTTGAGAATTGACTTTACCGAGAAATCCAGACGAACTTAATTGGTTTGCTTCAGATAATAAACAATCACACTGGGCATATTGTTTCTGAGAAAAGAATAAACTGTAGTTCAGATACAGGCTTGTTATGGTCAGCAGCACTGAAACTAATATTTTTGGATAAAGGGAAGAGATCTTTCTGATTCGTTATTACACGCTGGTCAGATGGCGGGAATAAGGTTTGGGCCATTAATTCTACACCCAAATTCCCGTCCGGAAATCAGTGTGTAGAAGGATCCATTATAATAATTATTAATGGTTTCGTTCACCTCCGAATATGAGTTAATTAATCCCTGAACACCTACATAAGTCTATCTTCTTCAAAAACAGTCTCTTACATAATACAGACTATCAAATCAACTCCCAGACAACCTGCTATTCGTTATTTTGATCTTGTCTTGCTGTACACTAACACGAATAAATTCCTACAACGTTTCGTCTGACCAAGGTCAGATTTTCTGAGACAAATATCATTCAACTATGCATAAAAGCATAGAAGAAGGATAAGTAGTTTATACTAAAACGACAAATATTTCAAGCGATTCAAAAGTCTTGCCACACGCTAACACTAAAATAAATTCCTACAACGTTTTGTCTCATCAGAGTCAGACTTTCCCAAAAAAACATTATTCAACAGTGCATACTAGCATAGAAGATAGATAGACCCGCAGAAACCACATCAATATAAGACATACTATTATAAAACTCAACACTATTTTCAACACAATAGATTGACATTTTTTTCTTATGTAAATGCATGTACGTCAACGGTGCGATATTGCACTTCTTAAAGTAAATAAACAACGACATTTCTTAGCGGGATATACCAAGGCAAACAAAAAGGTATAACTAACTATCGATGCCAATGTCAATAACAAGCAAAGTAACGAAGTCGTGGCGAATATACCTGGCGCCGTTTATTCAGCTTTGTGGGTAAAGAAAGATAAACAATAATAATAGAGTTGACGCTTGATATACATGTCCTAGGCCTTTGTGCAAAATAACGAATAACAATCAAAAACAAATAAAAAACAGTAAAATTCCACTATTCCCACCCCACTAACATAATACATCATCCTGTCTGTAACCACTATTATACAGGATAATCTATAAACAGAACTCAGGTCATTTTGAACATATTTTAGGAAAAACACATCTTTTGTGCTAATCGTCATAGATAACTGAATCAGAAACAGAGTCGCTCCATAAGTATGTGTGCCAATATGGAGGTAACAAGTTTTGTTCGCCTATTTGCTATTTTGTATTAAGTTGTGTGAAGGGACTGAAACCTATGGGTAGGGGTTAATTCACTTGGCTAACACGGGCAGTCCCCGAACTCGTAATAGAACCAAAACAAAGAAAATCGGAATAAAATTAGGGTCTAATTGCTACCCTGGTACTGGTGCACAGGCTACGGGAGTACCCTTTCTTTGGATAAGTAAACTTCGGTCACCCTGAATTACAAACCTCGTTGTGAACAAGGTCATATCATGTCAATTCAGCTGTACCAGTTCATTGCAACGTGTTGCTCCGAGTTACGTTATGCGCGATCTCACGTATATTTGCGTAAGATAACGTTGCATTCAAGTAAGTAAACAAACGTTAACGATGTAATAAGTCTGCGGAAATGTAAACAAAAAGGAATGCAAGTAGAACCAGAGGTCGATAGTTGAGCAAATAAGCTGAATTGAGTCCGATAAGATTTAGCTTATGTGCTAATGAACGCTAATGTAATCTATTTGTCAATTATTGAAAGCTACTTGAGTATGGTAATCTATAATGATGCGTTATCGAGTGGTCTTGCATCTCACTTTCAATTTTTAATTTTAATTTTGTTCTGCAACTTTTCCTCTGATCTGACTCTGATTTTTCAGTAACGCTGAAAACTTTTTAAAAAGAAGAATCGATGGAAGTGGGATGCAAAACGTTTGATGTTGCTTTCAACCTTATCGTTTATCTTATCCTGCTGAATTTTCAGTCAATTTGAACAAGTCTGGTATCAATTACTCTCTATTTTACAGCATACTTAAGCGTACTCGCACTGATAAACTAAAACCAGTGCTCTGACATCAACGGCCTCGAACGAGATGTCTGATAGATTGCACTTGCTGGGCGAATCAGTCCTCGAAACCAATCATTTAAATCCCACATTGGGAAGCATAAGCATAATCAAAATCCTTTCTTCGGTTGAACACTTGTCTAATTCTGGTACCCTTCCAATTTTATTTATTCAAAACAATAAAAAGTCGGCTTAGCAACCTCAAACGAATACACATTCATTCAATATAAATCAGCGCTTTTGAAGAAGATTGAGCTATTCAGCTGAATTCGTCATAATTTGATTTGCTTTGTGTGGTAATAAAGGCGGTTTGGTGGGAGTCGTCCACAAGTGAATAATAAAATACATTCCTTGAATACCAAGGTGCCGTAGTCATTGAATAAAAAGCACATAGACTAAACGAAATGTACCAAAAGTTTTATAAAAATACTAAAAAACACGCTCGAGTTAGTTGCGATTTAAAAAATGCGATTTTAATAATTATTTGCCCAAAATTGATTACAAAACAAAATAATTTGGCCACAGGGGAACATTATAATTATCAGGTACGCGCCATTACAAAACATGCGATAAATATACTAATATTTGCGCGTTCACAATTTAAACGGCGCAGACAAATTAAAAAAATAAATAACGCGCAGCTAAAAACGAACAAATGCTATAAAAGGAACGTCTAATATACAGTCCATATTGAATACCGAAATAAAACAATTGTTGAATTACTTTGCAATGCCACTTTACTTAACACATTATTCAGCACTGTAGTATCAGATATAGTAAATTAAATTGATTATCGTCGGTTTCCTATTTCACATTGTTGCAAAACAAAGAGTGTTTTCTTTCAAATCAGACAATGAAAATTGTATCTGTTTTATTTGAAAGTGAAATAATAGGTTTTAATTTCGACGAATAAAGTTAATTTTGTTTATGAAGTGTTGTGTATTGAATTTATTATGTCTGGACAGCATAAATCAGAGATAAAACAGGCGTTTTAAAAGGAAAATTGACAATAAAATTCTGCCAATTAAAGTTGTTGTCTGTCTAAGTGTTGAAATCGAAGGTTAATTGAATATTTTGAGTTCAACGTCCATGTATACCACACCAGAGTTTAATAAATTCGATAGGCAATGACAAATAAAAAATATCTCGGGATTTTTTGCCCTTCAAAAATTATTATTTCATGTTAGTCTGAGGAAGTCTTCAGGCGAAACGCTATTGAAATATATATCTACAGAAAAGACACTTGAATCACTTAAAATAGTTCCTCACGCTCTTTTCTTAAAGGCATAGTAACCCAACAGCACAAAAACGCACCCTAGTGTGGAAGTGTTGAACAAGAGTATTGGATCAATTAGAAAAGTCACCATTGCTCCATCCTTGAATTGTATGAATAGAGGCCCACCAGTACTCCATCGCCTCCTGAGTATAAGTAGATAGCACCACAAAAGACAAACAATCTCGATTTTCGAAATTTGTAAATCCGAACTTTTCGAGTTCTGATTCCAACTAAATTATTTTTTGCAAACTTCAGCGTTTTAGCCAGATTCCATGGTACAAACTAAACATTTTAATCCAAGTATTTCCAATAACAGATGCAAAATCCTACAAAAAACAAATATCAAAGCCTAGTTTGTCTACACACAGATTGGCACCTTGACGTATATATATATATATATTTATTCGCTGCAGGCAATATAAAAACCAACGAATTTGTGTACTAAAATTATATATCCGGCCTTTGACTCTTTATGTAAGATCTCATAGCAGGATAAAAATAATACATATATATAGGCATTATTTTGATTTAATATGAAAGTGTAAAATTAAAATCCTTGCTCAATCTAACTTCCTTGCATTTTCAAAGCTAAAATGTACAATGATTGTTGATGCCACAATTTAGAATTCATTTCATATTCCTATTTGAAACTACTATTTTCACCATGCGGTGAAAATTTAAACGAATAAGACGATATAAATAAGTTCAATGACTACAAAATTGCCTTATATTTCTGAGTTTTCTCACAGCAAAACCTCGAGACGATAATAATAATTGTTTTCGCACGAATATCATGTGACGATCATATCTGATGATGTGTTTATTGTTCATAAAAGTTTGTGGTAACGTCCTTTGACAAAAGAATAAGAGCTTTGTTCGCTCGTGTCTACAGACATTTTTATAAGTTGTTCCACGCCTTCTTTCTGAACAAAACTCAAATCAAGCAAATATTTATAAGTAATGAGATACTTCTACTAACTAATGACAGCTGCTGGGACGCCTGACTTGTTTGGGGCATAAATGTGGGCGCGCTAATTAAAGTCGTAAAGGATTTTTGCAAGTTTATCTGTATTGAGTACAGCGCAGTCTAAGTAAGTTGGGATTGTTGTCGACGGACCTGAATCTTCCCTGAATATATATAGAGTGTTCAAAAATTCTTAAAATTTTTCCAAATTGCAAAGGAAATTTATCGATTCGATACCCTATATTGTTTTGGCCCTCACAGATGTATTAAATGAAGTAAAACTACCGAACAATTACTGATTAAAAAACAACAAACCTGGTTAAGATTTATCGAGAACTGACATCATAACAAAATTGAAATTGTAAACTTGAACAATTACTGATTTAAAAAACAACAAACCTGGTTAAGATATATTGAGCACTGACTTTATAACAAAATTGAAATTGTAAAGGGACCTCATGGACACCTTGTAGAATTCGCGATGCACATTCGCAAACTAGATAAAATATTATAGGTAATAAAAAGTATAGCCCAGGTCTCTGTAAGTAAACCCTCGAATACGCTAACGACACCACAGACTCGCAAAAATGAACGTACATCGACAACTTAGAGCTAAAATGAAACAATGATTCAAAAATGCATTACACATAATACAAACGTAATTGCGCGTACATCTCACGCTTTTTGGCGAAGATAAATACGATGAACGACCTTTATATTGCACGATTATTTAAGAAATAAGCAATCAT